TGGAAAATGGGTGCCATTATGTGCAATGACGATGCATAGTCAACAATGCTGATGCACGGAACTCTCTGATTGGGTTTCCAGCCGGGGAGGTACTTGACGTCCATCCCAACTCGCGCGTTAAACTCCATGATTCTACTAGTCTTAGCAGGTAGGGATGCATGCGGAAGCTTATGGTTACTACACACGGTACATGTGAAGTTCTTTGCTACCTCCAGAGCTTCTTTAGAAGCCTTACTATGCTGCAAGATACGCACCAAATCCCTGTTGTGCGGATGGCCGAGGTTAACATGCAATTTCCTAACAGCTCGCAACACACTGGGAGTACCTTGGGTGTGATCAGCATGTATGACCTCCGCGTCTTCTTGCTCTGGTCCGGCCCTGTCTCCTTCGATCTCACCAATGAGACACTCTGCACCTTCGCACTCAGCCAAGTCGATAAAGTCGACCACACTCACATGTTGTTGTGCTTGGCAGGCTTTTAACATGGCTTTAACGAAAGATGGGGTGTACTCTGCTGCAAAGTCGCTCACGTTTTGTCCTGAGTTCAGTTTTCCTTCAACCAAACGATGTTTCTCACACCCCTGACACTGATGGAAATGAGTGGACTCCTTGATGGATGAAAGGATCCCCCTGGCTTTTCTGATGGGGATACCCGTGTCAGGACACTTCAACCCGTAGGCGCACATGTCAACTCTGCGGACTCCATACTTCCTACGAAGAGTGATCATGTCCCCATCGTCCCACACTTCGGAACCCCACGGATGCTCAAAGATAAAATCACCACCTCGACTTATCTGCTTGCGAATCTGTTGGAGAGCAAAGCGAACCTGATCTCTAGATGCTCGAATTAGCAAGGCTGTCTCGAAAGGAGACCGCTTGGTCCTATTCAGATGCTCCCACCCGCCTCGATGCGTGCATGGTGGACACGCCACCAAAAGTCGAGGGCGGACGCGATCGAGTTCCGCATCCACTTGCGACTTCACATTTGATTTGGAAAGGTCCCACCCCTGCTTAATATCATATGCTATCCCTTTTCCCCCCTGCCGAACAGCCTCAGTGGAAAAACGAGGAGGAGAAAATAACTCAGCGACCATGATACCAGCATCTTCGGTCTGGGAAACACGTTTCATCTGAGCAAGCAAACATCTACACTCTTTCTTTTTCAGTGTGATTTTTGTCTTCTGTTTTTGACTTGAGCCCTGCGCCTTCTGTTCAACCTTCTGCTGGTCGTCCTTTGTGGAACGAGCTATGTCTCTGTCGTGTTGATTACCGCGAGGCTTCGGGGTAGCTGTTTCTCTCGCTGGATATGCTAGGACATCCACCAGCAGCTGACCAGCCTCATTGGTCTTGAGATCGGTCGTGCAGCCGAGAAGCTCCATCTGTCCTTGAGCGAAATCCAGTTTCACAGCCATCTTTTCCAACGTTGGTCGTCCAAGCAAAAGAGGAGCTGAGCCCGCAATAATGGCTGCGTCAATCAAGCCAAACTTGTTTGCGATCCCGACAGGTAAGCGGCACGCACGTTTTGCCACTCCCGTTGCTCCATTTCCGAACCTGAACACATTCTCAGACTCATAGTACTGCACAGAACCAAACCCTCGAGCCTTGATCATGGGTTCAAGCTGTTTGAGAGTTTCTTCTCCGATCAGGGTGCGTCCGCACCCACTGTCCAGTACTCCAAAGCCCGGTGAGGAAATCAGGCCAGCGCTAAACACCGTGGTCATCACGTGTCCCACAAAGGTCGGCTCCACTCCATATCCAGCCTCAGCGGTTGGCTCTGAGCTCTCAACGTAGTTGGCTGCCATGGGAGGAGTGCTCGAAGAAGAAGCTTCTTTCGCACTTGGTGGCTGCCTGCACTCTCTGGCCCAGTGGCCTACTTTGCCACAGCGATTGCATTTGGTTCGCCTTTTCAGCTCTTCTACTTCCACTTTGAACTGCCTTTTGGAAGTGCCATGAGAACCGAATTGTCGACTCTTCTGCACCTTTGCTATCTCCTTGCGACGCTCTTTCCAAGTCACAGCGAGGGCTTCGGCTGCCTCTTGTTCAGTGAACACAGCCTCTTCTGTAGTGGTCTCGTGCTCATGTTCGGCGATGAAGGCCTCAACTTCTTGCAAGTAAGCATCGTCCGTGTAGGACATCTCTGGTGCAGCTTCGAACTCGTCAGTCATGACGTCGACTTGCAGAGCTCCAACTGGCTTTCTGCGACTGGCTGTTGCTTTGTACAAAGGAAAACATGACCTCATGGCAGCGGCCACGGCTTCGTAGTCTAAGCTGCCTTGTGTCTTGGCCTTCACTATGGCCTTCTGTTCCTCAGTCAAGCCTGCACAGTTCAACGTAATCCAGCCCTGAGCGGCAGCTGGAAAAGCCACTCCCGCTCGTCTCTCGCATCTGTCAAACACTTCTCGAGCTCGAGCCGTCCACTGCTTGATGGACTCGGCTTCGTTGGCTGACAGTGCAAACACTTCGCCCAGCGATTCTCCTAGCAAGTCATGAGCCTCTTTTTCTGGAAATCGTCTCTGCAACACTTCCCAGACCTTTTTGTCACCACCTGACACTGCAAGGTCGTCTAAGGTCAGGTGCTCACAAGCATCCCAGGCACGACCATCTAGAAGCGTCAGGATCCATGGCCCCCTTTGTTCAGGTTTGATGTCTTTCAACGTAACCAGTTTGGCCTGGGCCCATGTCTTCCACTTTTTCAACGCCTTACCCGGGTCATCGCCCTCACCGTCAAAGCGGCGATGACCCTTGTCTTCACTCATGGCAGCAGGTGCACTACCTAGTGACACTCACTGCGAGCCCCTGGTGGGGCTCCGCTACCAATGTCGGTGCGGTCGCCCCACCAGGAGCATCGCAGCGGCGCCTTTCTACGCTCCAGCCTAAAGGTTCCGCTAGACATGGCGTCCGACCATGTGCTCATCACAATTCACATATGTATATATATATATATACATGCACATGCAGACGGGTCTGTTGAGAGTTTGAGACCCTGATGCAATTGAGCCCCTCATGCTGCAGGGGCATTTGCAGGGTTGGACCGCGTCACACATGTCGTTGGACTTTCTCCCCTGACATCGTTTGTCGCAGCGATGGGATCATGCCTTTTTCGAGTTTTTGGGCTTTTATGGCCTTACTACTAGGAGCAAGAACGCTACTAGGGGCTCCTGGCATTTCTATTAGGAGCATTCTTACTAGTAGCAAGAAGCTACTAGGAGCACAGGGCATCGCTACTAGGAACAAGAAGCTACTAGGGGCTCCTGGCCTCACTACTAGGAGCAAGAAGCCTAAACTGGGGCTCGGAGGCAGTGTAGAAATCGAGGCAGTTCGCTTTGTGCAGCTTTCTCACACAACGACCGGTCGTTCGTTCGCTGTCGGCACCCGGAAGATGACGTTCCAATCACTTCCTCGGAAATCGAATGGCATCCTTGCTCCGTTGGTAGCGATGCCCTTTGCTCCTAGTAGCTTCTTGCTCCCTGTAGCGATGCCAGGAGCCCCTAGTAGCATCCTTGCTCCTAGTTGCCTTGGTTTTATGTTTGCTTGCCTTGCAATTCTTGTCTCGTTTCCGGGCCTTTGCTGGTAACCCTGAGTGCCTGATGCTTGGACACTCTTACTAAACACTCTGTGGCTCAGTCACTTTGTCGAGATGACAGAGTGAAGTGGCGATTGCGGAGGTGGCCGAAGTTTTCAGCCTTTTGTCCTCGCTGTGACCACCAGGTCAGCCTGGCCGAGGTAATTGATGCTTTTGTGTTTTTGATCGATGGTGACCTAGCCAAGCAACTGCGAGGCATCCAGGAGCAAGAGTAAGTAGTTGAAAGACAAGTATATATATATATATGTATAGATGTCACTGGGTTAGGCTGCTAGGTTGCACAATTGTGGGTCACAGTGAGTTTCAATAGCGCCAGACTTCCGTATATGGGCGCTCGAGTTCCTGTATGTTGCGACAAGGTATGGTCTACTGCCGGTCACTAGAATCTCATGAAGTTTGGCTTGTTGCTGTGGGTGGAACATGTGTTGTTGATTGGACTTGGCTGTGCCTTCAGCAGTACAGAGTCTGCCCGTAACCGTGGCAAGGGCCAAATCAAGAATACTGAATACTCTCATCCAGAGCGTTGTTTGCAAGTGGCAAGCTTACACGTGCTTGTGGTTGCTTCGTCATAGCGACATGCAACCGCACGAGGCAATCAGATGCTCTAGATGACACTTGACCCGCTCAACCTTGGCCTTGTGTCAGTTTGCTCTCCTAGTGTGCTAGTCTTCACACTTCTATTGCTGACTGGGTTGCTTCGTCATGTTTCCAGCACATGGCATGCACTCGGAACACAAGGCCGGGAGGTCCAACCTTTGTTGAGTCAGGGCGTGACCGTGAAATGTCAGCTCATCTCATGCTGAATGCTGTGCAGCCTGGCAGACGGGACTGATACTTTCGTAAGGCTCAAAGATGGGGCCCACCCGAAGAAACAACGATCTGGGACCTCAGACTTGATCACCTGCCGAGGAAACACCCATTGAACCACACCCATCTGCGGCAATCCTCTGTCAGAGCTGGCGGGGTGCAAGTACTTGCTTCGCCGTGGTTGGTGGAGTGAGGTTGGGGTGTGAGCCTGAAGTGGAGATGTTCATTGTGATTGCCGACGTTGCTGCTTTGGGATGATGCGGGAGAAGTCAACCATCAGTTGGTAGGTTCGCACGCTTTTTCTTACGCCTTGGAAGCGAATAGCAACGTTCATTTTCTGTACGATTCCTCAAAAGCCTCCGCTTTGAACCGCTGAACCTCAAAACACAAAAGTGTCTTAGGTGGGCCGTCGGGATTTATACATATACATATTATACCATGTACATATATTACACATGCATATGTATATGTACATATATGTATATATCGTCTAGCGATTTAGCTTTTCTACAGCAGACACACACAATGTTTCCTTTATCAGAAAGCAGAAGAAGCAGGCCAAGGCAGAAGGCTTTCTTGCCTGTCCGTCTTCACTTTCCCGTGATGTAAGGATGCTGGATTCGTGCCCCCAGCAGTTCTGCCGTTGAGCACCGCGGCCCTTCCAGCGCCTTTGCACGTAATTGAACTGATCCTACTAGGGCGATGGCCTCCAACCTCCTAGAATAGTGAATCGGATTGTTCTTCACATGTTTGGATTCTGCAGATTCCCCTTTCACAGACTTGATGCCGAGTTACTTCTTGGTGCTCTTCCGGCTTCCGCTGAAGTGGCCGAAGGAGGGGCAGGGTCTCAGCCTGAGTTGACCAAATGTGTTTCATTTTTCAACTGAAATGCTACTAGTAGCGTCCTTGTTACTACTAGCGATGCCAGGAGCCCCTAGTAGCGTCCTTGCTCCTAGTAGCGATGCCCTTTGCTCCTAGTAGCGTCCTTGCTCCTACTTGCTGTTTTCTTTCAAAAGAGTTCCCTCCACACCTTGAATGCAAACACTTTGAGGTTCCAAGTCATCATGATGGCCCCGGTCATTAGCCTTTTTGCCATCGTGGGTGTAGCAATGGTGGGTTGCCTATCACAGTTTTGCGCGTTGGTCTTTACTTTTTCGAAGTGCCAAATGCCAAAACTTTCTTGCGCCATGTCTGCTGAGGAATTTATTTGACACATTCCAATTGCTCTGTGCAGGTTGGCGGCTTTGTCCTGGGGATTTTTGTGCCACCTGGAGAAGGCAAATTCTACCATCAAAGCAGACATGGCACGATTCTTTGAAGAACAGGTGACTATGGCAACATGGAAACAACTCTGGCCGAAAGAGAGGCGGGACACACGACGCTATGAAGCAGCAAACTTATATATTTTTCCGTGAAACGCTTGTGAAACGCATGCGAGTGTTAGTCAAATGCATGTTGCCGAGTCTGACAAGGCACGTGAACGCGGTTGGCGGCGTGATGTTTTACGCGGCTACGATGAAGAAACCTATGCAGTCGCGCACATAAAGCGTGCCTGGCTAAAAGCACTTTGCGGTTGGAAGCAGCGCCAAGGCCATGCGTGGAATGGACAAAGACTGGGCCAAGGCGTTAAATCAACAAAGACTGGCTGTTTGCTTCTAGGTTGGAGGCCATCACTAGAAATTAATTGGGTTGGAGGCAATTCACGAAAGGTAGCGGTTACGCTACCTGAGTTGCCTTGCTTTAGCAATGTATTGGGGCTGGTCGCAGGCTCCTGTCCCTGAGTTCGGTGGTTTAAGAGTTGGTTTTAAATGTCGGGGGGGGGG